TGATTCACCAACCTTGAACAATAAAAGGTCTTCAAATTTTTTATGATGCCCATGTCCATTGCCTGTATCAAAGATGTGGTCTTGGGAGGCAGAAATTCCATCTGGATATTCTTCAAAAAAATCCAAATTTGAATGTGCTGCACAATTGTCGAGAAGTAATAACACTTTTCTCGACCGGCGCTGTAGCTCTGTGTCCCAATCCTTCACCCATTCTTTAAAAAGTGTAGAGCTCATCCATGCATTTCTGTTCACACCATACACAACTGGTAAACTGTCCAGTCTGAGTCCATTAGAGCAGCGAGGCTTGGCACATTTTCCTATAACCAGCAACTTCCTCTTGTCTGTTCCGGACATGTTTGAGCAGCACAAGACGGTTACGCGATCCATTGCTCTTTTTGCAGCCAGAGAGAGTAACATGTCTGTAACTTAAGGAGCCGTCCGGTGTAGCCCTATAGTACAACCCGGTTTCATCAGCATTATAGATGTCATCTGCTGGAAATTTTTCAAGAAGCTCTGGTAGTTTTGTTGATTTCCATTCTTCAGCTCGAGCGCAGTTGGCACTTTCTTTCTCACCATGAGCATTCTTAAATTTTACATCATGTCTAGATTTCCATCGAGACAACCAGCCGTCTGTAGCTATAAAATCTTCGTGGCCCAGCATTTTAGCGAGTTCTTCTGCTTTATACTTTAATATTGGGCGACTTACTCGCACGGCTCGTCCATTAACGAAGGCAAACCAATCATTAAAGGCCTCATCGACGTCTGGATCCTTGCCTTCACGCTTTCGTTTTTGGGAGCTACCTCGTCGTCCTTCACATCTTTGTTTTATCAGGCGCGATATTGTAGATTTTGCCAAGCAGGTAATTTCCACCAATCGACGCTGACTAGTGGTTGGTCCCCGTTCCTTGATCTGATCTAGGAAACGAATCTTATCAGCTAACGTCAAGTCCCGTCGTGGCATTTTCTTAACATGCAACAAGACACGCACAGTTCACTGAGGTGAACTCGAGTCCGTCTCCCGGGTATTTCTATGGTTGACCTAGCCACCTGCTGTCCTATGAATTGCCGGACCTGTGTGTCCGCGATCACTTGCCGTGCTCGTGAGTAGGCCCGCAATGCGGGCTCAGGGCATTCGGCTCAATGGACGTGCGGTACATCGATCGAGCGGTTAACGACATGTGAACAAGCATGTATGTCTTCGCTCCGCCTACAAGTGTTGGAAACTACAGTCAGTTTCAGGCGGTTCTGAAGCCAATTAGATAGATGTGTCTCAAGGTTGCCACAGTTCAGTTTGTCCCAAGGCGAACTCGGATTACCGTAACTGAATGATACGCTTTCTTTCCCGACATATGAACTGTGGGTTTAGTCCAGACATCCAGGCACAGAACTTGATTTTAAGACCTCTGTTACCTGCCACCTTCTATCGTCTGGCCCGATTAAGCGGAACTCCGGTCCTAATAAGCGGCTAAAATTAGGCCAGCGTAATAGGATTCGTTTCGGTTCTTCAGAATTTGGCCCGAATAAGCGGCTGGTCCTATTAACCGGAATCGACTGTATATATATATATATATATATATATATATATATATATATATATATATATATATATATATATATAAGGGGAGGAAGAAGGGACACCGCAACACACCGATGCACACGTCCGCCATTGACATCGATCTTGAGCCATGGCTGCGTCAACAAACAATCGGAGCACATTACTAGGGACACCTCTCGGAATTCACATCCTCTTAGCCAACTGAGCATTAAATAAAGTTAATTTGGCAACCAGCACGAGGCTTCATAACATTACTCAAGCGTTTCTTAACCCCTCGTCTGAATGCGTATGTTAGTTCGTGAGGGAAATCCGCGGGTCGGGAATTTCACGCTATATCCCGAAGCTTTTTTCAAAAGGTGACCCCATATTACGACAGTACGAGTTATCTTGAAAATAATACATGCAAAGAAATTGCTAGAATTTTTTGTGAAAGCCGCTAAATCCACAGTGAATAATATAGAGCGAGGTTCTAACGGCCTAATGGGTAGATACATTACTCTTTTCTTTTTCAATGTTTCGATACATTGCCTCTGCATTGAGAGAGATCCACAGGTACATCGTTTTTCTTACAAGTGATGTCCTCCAAGCTGAGATTATAGAAAATCCCTTTACCATATGGAGCTTGTACGTATGTATGCTGTTTTATGTATTACAATACCAAGCATTCATGCTGTTCGGGGATAAAGGCAGTTTAATGAACTGGAGGGGGTTGATAACGAGGTTTCTTATATTTATGCAAAGCTTTTTGTTGCCTGACCCCGTTAACTATCGTCCCATCGAAGCAAACTCGCGCATTCTGGTCAAAAATAGAAATGAGCTTTTTCTGGCTATAGTCTGTATTTCACTTCTGCGCACGCTCAGTCCGGCTCCATCGGTCGATCTCAGCATGTTCCTAGTTTTCAATTCATATTGGGCTCATGGAAGGAATTAAACTCATGTTAGAATCAAGGCAGGCAGGAAGCGGCTTTAAAATTTTGTTACTATGTATGAAAGTCTAGTCTAAATAGCAAATGTGTCTTGTACTTCCTATTTGCAGTGGATTTTGTACGTCTAAACATACGGTATGTTGCTGAGTGCTAAATACTCCAACTTGTTTGCCTTCTCTTGTTCATCCGTGTGGTATGTTGCTTTGCCTCTATCTACTTCCCGCTTATACTCGGTCATTTAGAAGTAACAGTGTTATGCGGACTTGAGTCATTACAACAGTATCCATCATACACCGGTGCAGGGGCCATCGGTGGTCAATGAATTGCCACGTCGTATTTTTCGGTACGGACGTTCTCTAATCTTCATAGTGAGACTGGGTCTCAACATTGTGCGATGGCTTGCTTACCTCTTCAACCCATTGAGCTTCACTGGATGTTTATTCGGCCCGCTATAGTACATTGGACTCGAACTGGAATGACACTCATTTTCTGAAACCAACTCGCTACCATTCTCGGCAACCTTGCGGTTAGGTTTCCGAGCCTCCGGTTTTGGTCGAGGACCCTAGTCATTCTCCTACCTAGGTTTAAGCGTTTTGGCAGCATCGCAGCCCTAGTGCAACCACGGATGAATTTCTCGTCAACTCCAGGTATGATGAAACACCCAACTTCAAAATAGTCATCGTGCCTTCTGCATCCAGCATGACGCGTGAACGGAAACCGGCAGTTTCTGATACTTCCTTCCTTTCCCACCAATTTTTCTTACATCCTCCAAACGCCAACACTAACTTCCTTAGCCCGCATTCCACTTTTGTTGGTCTTATTCGATGGTGCACCTTGTCATTCGACTCACTCACATAATGGTATGCCTGGTATTCACATCTTGCGATCGATGATATTGTCTGGATGTTTTAAGCAAATTATGGCTACGGTCCTAATCTGTCAAATGTTTACTCAGCATCAATTGTGTTGGTTGTGTTGCGAAAGTCATTTGTGATCTTCCTACACACACACAAACCGCCGCATTGACGGATGTGTCCGGAAATTCAAGAGAGCCACAATTCACTCCTTGTGACACAGTCTCCATTCACGTGCGTTGGGGCTCTAACCAAGCACCTCATGGGCCTTCATTCAATTGTTTCGTCCCAACATCGGTTGGCATTCGTCTCACCCCTTTGTCTCACCACTTTGTCGTCCACCACTTTGTAACATTCCTGATGCGCTTCGATTTGTTAGCGTTGGTGTGTTGTCCATCTTGTCTTTCTTTTGGTGCTGCAACGTGCGAACTGTTCTTTGTGGTACTGACCTCATTCTCCAAAATGTAGTCTGTTTGCAAATCAAATCATCCATAACTGGTTATACTGCGTGTTCATTACATTGGTATACGTGTGCATGGCGCCTGCCACTTTTACCATCGTCTGTCTCCGTGCATACCTAATCGCACCGTAGCATACTACGCCGTCGATGCTAGATTCGGTGAACATTTCGTCCACCGTCCTTCCTACCTCACTAATGTGCAATTTTGTCGCTTTTGGCTCACGCTAGATCCATCCACCTAAAGCCTCCTAATCTGTGTGGTAGCAGTTGGATGGCCTAAGTTCTTGGCTGCATTGCGGGATTCCATCAGTCGCCCGAACAACTGGATGAAATGGCATGTTCTAGGGTTCAGTCCAGTGTAGGTCATAGTCCATCCTTCTTTCGTAATCAATTGCATCCACGACAGTGATGTAATACTATCAGCTTAGTACCTAGCGCCAAGCATGCGAACGCCTCATGGGTGATGTACTGTGTTCCTGCGTTGATTCACTCCCTTGGTTGCTCACTCTGGCTTCTAACCTTTGGTTACCATTCTAGGTGGCATACAACTAACGGTAAATTAGGTGCATTCCGCTGCGGATTTTAAAATTACTCCTTCTCCTAGTGGGAAACAGTGATGTAAATTCACCAATTTTCAGGGGGGGGGGCTTTGTTATCGTTCTACCGTATGGGAAATGAACTCACTGACTACAATCTTGGTGCCATCAGTCCGTCTCACCTTCCAGGCCAGTGTCCCGGTGACCCGCCTTGCCCTTAGCTCGAGACCTAGCAGGACATGGCTTGCAGTCGACACCAGTGGCGCGTCTGCTACATTCTCCTAGTCGGACTGCCTGTTTACAGTGTGCTTCAAATGTTTAAAGTGTGTTTGGTGACGAGTTATCTGCAGGGTAATGGCTGACTATTGCGCAGGGCAGGGAAGGCCTCAAGGATGCTATCTCGCCGATGCCGCATTGTCTTTGCGCGATAGCCAGCTGTTTGTGGCAGTACGTTGTTGACACAAGCTGTAGGTGCCTTGACCCTGAATGCTTGCTTAAGGCGCTAATATTTTATGCTAGATCCTCCCTGTTATTATTTTTTCCGTCAGTCGTCATGGTTGTATGGCAGCGGAGCATCAGTTCAACTGACTTATGTGCTGCTGCAGAGGACGATGATGACGACGACGACAATGATGATACGAGCTGAGCTCCAATTCTCACATGTTTTAGCTCATAATTAACACACACACACACAAGCGCATACTGTTAAATATTATCTCCATTGTTAACCTTTTTCTAGCAACAAAGGATAAAATTATTGGTGTGGCTTTTCTACGCCTGCAGCCAAGCGCATCAATCCCCGTTTTACTATCCGACGGCGATTATCATCTCCATGTGCACAAGGTACGTCTTCTTTGTACGCCCGCCCCCCTCTAGCTGTTTTTTTTCTGTGCTCAAACTGTGCACAAATCAACTGTGTGTGTGTAACTTGGTAACGGCTGAAACATTTCTCCCCATCTACCTCATTTCTCGGTTGAACGCGATTCCGTTTGTCTTTTGTATTGTGATTTTGATTTCGAAAGTTTATCAAACAGAGTCGTTCACGAGGTATAGGCAGAGCAGCATGCAGATCCCTCTCACCTATGCCCTGCTGCCATGGGACCACTAGCAGTCACCCACGGGCTAGGAATATTGCTAAGTTACCTTCATCCATGCGGGCGAGAATCGGCGGTCTTTGGAGTAAATGCCAGATAACTAAACCACGAGATGCCCCCAAATGTTGCACCTCTCAGATTCTTTCATTACCCCCGCCGATAGTAAGGTTTATTGTTGGCGTACAACTCTCATACTCAGTTTCTAACACTCGAACTCAATTGTAGCTGGTTGCCATGCTCCTTATAGGATCCAACATTACTCTCTTTATTTCACCCCCTTTTGTGCTAACCCGATTTGGTCACTGATTTTCTAACCATTTCATTTTTCGTCATCTATTTTCTAACCACATATGCGATGTTTCCAAATCAAATTCATCATTGTTTCCAGATGGATTCGCATCAGATCGAATGTTGCGCTTATCTCCGAGAATCCTCTTACCTCTCTAGCCCCAGTGGTAGCGGCAGCATATCTGGTTCACAGGGATCAATCGGCGCGGTCAACATCCCATCGTCTTCCTCCTCCTTGTCCACCTTTTCGCAGTTGAAGCAACGTCACGAGACGTTGCACGTGAGGACTCGTGTTTGCAGTAACAATCACACCACCGACGGTAAATGCATTTCACCGACTTTGTTCGTTTTCCCCTTCCTGATCTGTGAAACCTGTGTTCATATCACCCCCACCCCCCAGAATGTTTGCGTTGGGATTGCATCACTGGTTGGTTAGCTGAATCAAATCATACTATTGTGTAAAAGTTTTTTCTCCATCACTCTCCGCTAACATCTATCACACGCCGCGCTAACAAACGATGCAAATTCTTAGAAGGTGACCTTGGAGTACACTCAACATCCATCTCAAAATGTCAGTAGCACTGGTTGCGCACACATTCAGCTCAGCAGCGTTTCCCGTCATTATTGTCGAATCACTGTTCTTAGTTAATGAAGTGTGTATTGCAAACGGGTTGATCCGTTGTTCTTTGTGGGCGATAAAAATGAACAAACAGCTCCTGGCTTTTCGCAAGCAGCCAAGTTCCATGTGTTTAGTGTGCAAAACCAGCTTGTGTCTCGCCACATTTCATCGCGGTCAAAAGCCTTGGATGCGACTGATACGCCGTCAGTGGGACACAGCGCTTTCTATTACACAACAGTCATGACGCGTGAGCGCCTCTCTGGTTTCCCCTTTGTGAATAACCTATTCATCGTAGCCCTTATCCTGATTGATGTTCCGAATCGCCTCTCTCACAACGTGCTGACGGAGGATATTCAGTGAGTTTAGAAATCCTTAGCAGCACATCCTGCGCTAATAAACTACATCACGAGGTCTCTTTCGGTTGCCACGTCGTCAACGTCATCATGTCCAATCTACAGCACAGTCGTTTCTCAAAGCCCCTTGGAAGCATAGTATTACCAGAGCCGTTTCACTTGCCGATGGTGCTTAAGAACATCATCATCTTTGTCATCATAACAGCGATGAGTCAGCCATTTGAACTAATTCTTGCTGCCGTACAACCATAGGGACGTATGGAACGATGAAAAACAAAGGGGAGAGAAGGGGTGCCTACTGTAAGATCTTAATGCCCTAAGAAAACATTCAGGGTCAAGGCACCTACACCTTGTGTAGACAAGATACCATCACAAACAGCTGCCTATCGTGCAAAGATAATGCGGCATCGGCGAGACAGCTTCCTTGTGGCTTTCACTGTCCTGCGTCATGATCAGTCATTACGCCGCTGATACCAAACCCACGTTAAACAGGCAGTTCGACTGGGAGTCGGCAGCAGACGCGCCACTTGTTCCGACTGCGAGCAGTATCCTGTAACCTCTGAAACCAATCAAAAAGCGAGTCAAGTGGACTCCAGAGCGGAAAGCGAGACAGACCGACGGCATTTAGTATGACCAGTATTGATTTCATTTCACGCTGTCAAGTTAACTATTGGCCATCTCGGGTACTATGCCACTGTATATCCGGCAAACAAGAAAAGGCCCTCCTCCGTAAGCGTTGATCGGGTATACGTTGTACGTGCTCAAACCGGCGCAACGTATACAGTACTATCTGTTGTTATTACTGTTGTTATTGTTGCTGTTGATTATTACTGCCTGGTTCTCGCCTACGCAGCGCATCGTTGCGGACACGATGGTGTCACCCAACATCGGTAATGCTTCGTACACAACCATGATCAGTCTTGAAGGCGCTACATGTTCTCAGATCTATGGGGTCTGAGTCTTACTCCCATCGGGTAGGACGACGCTCACTTTGGCCTTGTATACACGGCCTTTCAGACAGGCAAACTTTTTTTCTGACGCCACAGATGTCGGGGATTCAGTAAGGCAGTTTTAGCTGTTGCAATACGTGAACTGGCTTCAGTGCTTATGCGCACACCGTTGCTGAGGCTGCTGCCAAGGTAAGTGAAGTGATCCACTACCTCGAGATCCTCGCTATCAAGGGTCAATGGGACATCAAATGTTTACTGGTTCTGTAACAGCACTTTGAACTTTGAAGGTGTGATGCGCATACCATTTCCGTTTAGTTTAGTTGAACAACTGTGATGCGAACACCGAAGTGCGGTGGATCCAGTTGCCATGACACTCATCTTAGGAATAACAAGTACTAACAACCGTAGACTATTGACTTTAGGTGCAAATAGAATGTAGAGAAACTAGAAGCAAGAAAGCAATGCGTTAGACTAATCAGAATGGAACGAATATTAACAACCAGATGAAAGAAACCGAATGCAAGGACACCACTGACTTCGTGACCGCGCCATGTCTGACACGGTCTCCAGCCATTGGTGTGGATGGTCCCGCCTGACCTAATCTCTCAGTCATTTTCTTCAAGCTTCTATGTAACGTCGTGGACTGGCTACCTCGCGGTTCATCATCATCATCATACACGTTAGCTAGAGGTGGGGACACCTCAGCTACTGTGCCGCAATACACCAAAAAGGAGAGAAAAAAAGCAACTGATGCAAGCTGGCTGAGCTACCGGTAACGGATAGGCATCATTCCGGTAAGCTACCAGCCGGCTACTGTGCATCAAAAATACTGTGCGAAATTATATAAAGCTAAATAATGAGATTGCGGTAGGAGGGGGAGGCTAAGATGGATCGGGTGGGATAAAGAAACTCACAGCATGAACGCCACTGAGGTCGGCTCCTAGCCATGTCAGCAAGTATGTCCAACCAAACGTGTTCATCGTCTTTCGGACCCCAACCAGGGAGCCGAGACGCTCCAACCGAGGCCAGCTCAGAAGTGAGGGCCTTCACTCCTCTAGACCAAGTCATCGCTTGGCCACCCCTCCTCTTCTTCCATCCACACCCACGGCGCGCAAACAACGCACGTAGCGGGAGTCGGTGGGCTGGCATGCGTAACACGTGGCCGAGCCATCGGAGTCTGGTGCGTGAAATAACGGTGCTGAGCGGTTCATTTCCTTTTCCTGTGCCGAATACAAGGCGTCGGACACGCTCGTTTCTCACGCGGCGTTCCCACCAGATGTGAGCTAAGTTGCGAACGCACCGGTGGTCGAACGTAACTAGCCTCTTCAGGTCCGCTGCTTTAAGCGGCCAGGTTTCACAACCGTACAGTAGGGTCGAACGCACCGCTGCATTGTACACTCTACCCTTCAGGGTGAGAGTGATGTCGCGCCCGTGCCATAAGTGGCGAAGGTTAGAAAAGCACACCGAGCTTTTGCTATACTGTTCGTGATCTCATCCTCTATCACCGGGCGCTGATACAACTTCCAACTTGTTTAATGTCTTCGCTGCGAATTGGACACGTATCTGGTTCGTACAATAAGACCGGCGTTACCGCATCGTTATACACCCCACCTTTCTTCGACAGGCTTATATCCCACCGTCTTCATAGATGGTTGAGCTTTTGGAAAGCCACGCGGGCCTTGCTGATATGAAAAGTACCTTCCTGAGATATGTGACCACGAGAGGTGATACAGTTAACAAGGTAAGTGAACCGATATACCACTTCCATTACTGTTCGGTGATAGCTAGAACCGGAGGTGTATCGGCCCACTCATGAAGCAGTACTTTACACTTTGAAGGTGCAAAGCACATGCCAAACCGTGCAGCGCTACCCATAAGTCTGTGCAGTAGTTTTTACATAGCTACTGCATCAGATGCAAGGAGAACTATATCATCTGCATACTCAAGGTTTGTCAGTCGGACACCTGGCAAAACTTCCTCCTCTGTGGACTGAGAACCGAGTCGTTCATGATCATTTCTTTCACGAAGTTAAATCCCACCTGCCGTGGGATAGCTTCTCGTAGACCAATCTCAGGAATCACGGTGGAAGGACTGCATAATGTAAGGAAATTCAGGCGGCACGCCTTTCATGCATAAGCAGTACCACAACCTGGCGCGGTCAACAGAGTCAAAGGCGGCTTAAAAGTCATGGAAAACCGCCATAGTCGGTCGTCTGTATGTGTCTCTACTCTAAAACTTGGCGAAAAATAAATATTTGGTCGATGTGACCACGACCAGCGTGGAAGCCAGTCTGGCTTTCAGGGATTCGGTCCTCACGGGTACCAGTAAGTCGCCGAAGAATGGTACCCATGAGAAACTTTGAAGCGATTTAAATAAGGCTAATACCTCGATGATTTTTGCACAAAGCACGGTTACTCCTCTTAAAGATCGACACGACAGTTGATAATCGCCAGTCTGAAGTCACTTCTTTAGTGTCCCAAATCCTGTTGAAAAGAGAAGCGTCCAGTCAACAAAGATTTACCGCCGTCTTTTAGCAAAGATGTGGGAAGTTCGTCGGATCCAGGAGCCTTGTTTCGTTTCAACGCAGAATGCTCATCTCGAATCTCTTCCAAAGTTGGACGTCAACTTCCCACATGGGCTCATGTGATTCGGCAAGCGGCAATGTCGCAGCAGGCCTGCTGAACTGCTCCTAAAAATGTTCCGCCCAACGAACTACAAACGACGCTGTAGTGAATGGATCACCAGTCTTTCTCTCACGGCTGTTGTCTCGCTAACTGACGGCCTTCTCAGACCCGAGTGCTGCATGGGCTGGAATAGCACTCGGCCGTTTCCAATAGCACTGACTTTGTCTATCTCACGGGCTTTTGCAACCCACCTACATTCCCGAAGAACTCGAAGACTCCTTATCAGATGTCGTTTCAAGTACTTACCAATAGGCTGAAACTCAGTGCCCATCGGAACACGTTTACGAATGAAGCTAAAGACGAGTTCTATCGCCAACTCACTGACCTCCTACGCAAGAAATGCCGCACGCACATCGTGAGCGCGAACTTTGGGGTCGACACAACCACGGTGCTCGCAGGACGGACAACGGCTATCGGCTCCTTCAACTGTGCACCGACACAGCGCGTCGTTGAGATGGAGCGGGCAGCCTCATCAGGAAACTCCCGCAAACTCTTCTAACTTATTTGCTCCACGTGAGGCTGAAGACAACCAGAATGGTGCACAGCAAGCGTCAAAGACATTCCTCATCACACACTTGAGACGACCGCAATCAGCGCTCGGCTCACCAACCTCATTCATCACTGACAATTGGTGGGCCAGTTCGTTATGATATTGTTGAATTGCAGACTGAATTCAAGTTACAAGTAAGAACATTAGAAGGTAGGCGATTCTTT